CTTTTCCTTATTCTGTAAATTCTTTGATTGGAATATGAATGCTGCTGGAAGTATGAACATTTTCTCAGGACAATGATATAAATGGAACTTTAAAAATTTTTTAAGCGTTACAGTGATATTTCGTTACATGTTCCATAATGTCAATAATATTGATTTCCCCGCAACATCCATAATTATTACAGATGCCAATATAACGAAATATCTTTTGTGCGATGTTTATGGTGTAATAAAAATCTGTGTTTCGATTACGTTTTTGATACGTATTATTCACTTATATGTAATAATATGGAATAAAAATATACTATTAGTCCAATATTTGAAAATATACATGTGTTCGTTGTCACTGTTAAACTGTTGTAATAACAATGGAATAATAAAATAATTTACTCAAATGTACATAATAATACATATACATATTCATAAAAACAATATAAAACGCAATAACTTGTTTGTACGCGAAGAAAAACCAATAGGTCCGTCGGGACAAGAGCCTATGACCCCTTTTTATACATATAATACGTCTACTTTACAGCGAACGGACGGAAGAGAATCCGTTCACGATCATGGTCCCTTCTGGTCCCTTCGATGATTTTCCGACGTACCGAACACGCATGATCTGACAACATTGCGTACTTTAGACTCGACACACTGTAGAAGTTAGACTAGTTGAGCTCGAATGATTTAACGTAGTTCACAAATTCACCGTTCTCATAACCTAGAGGGCAACAGAAAATCCCTGACTTTTTACACTATCGGTATTTCAGAACATGAGACACGAAGTCCCATAAGATGATAGGTCTATCCTATACCTAGTCGGTGCCTGTATCCGTCAGATGACTATATCGTTTTTTTCGTTTTTTATAGAAACTAAGTACCACCAAATGCTCTATTTAGACCATCAATAACCACCAAACGACCACCAATCAATTGGCTATAATGAAAAGTTAAGAAGTTAAAGTTGTCCGGCTAACTTCACATAGGTCATTCAGCTTACACTTCCACCCTTTATTACTATGTCCATGACCTACCTCAATGTCAACTATGCTACAACAGTTGCGTGCAACTTGCGTAAATATGTAGACAACACTTGTATGTACTCTATTGCTTGCAACTTGCCCGAAACTTGCACACAACTGGTTATCAGGGATAATCAACCTATCACAAATTTTACAAAAAAAGATATTTGTTGCAATGTTTAGCCATTTTCAAGTATTAAGATTTACCAATAATCTATCACGTGATGACGCGGTGTCATTGTTGTGACCGTTGTAACTTTAAACTGAAGGACTAGCAAATGCATTATTTCCTGCAAAATAATTAATATGTGACACCGTATGAGTGGCTTGTTTACATAATAACAATACACTATTATTATAAAAACTTGTACATTACTTAGCGTTTAGATTTTTTTTCAAATACAGTTATAATTGTAACATACTGATTTAAATTCAGGTATTACTCTGTTGGTAGCAATGAATTCGAAATTCAGCGCATCATGTAACAGTTTAATGTTGTTTGTAGGTTTCTTTGTAAATCGTTCTAAAAGTGTTCCATGGTGTTCTAACTATTTATTGTGAAGAAAAGTGCTCAATTTTTTTAATACCGAAGCAAAGTATTTGTTAAGGAGTCTACAAAGATCGATAAATGAATAAAAATGATAAAGGACTTTGTCATTCCTATAAACAAAGATGAACTTTTGGTGGCAACCGGCGGTGGACGGTTTTTTGTCGACAAAGTCATTCCAATTCGAATGATTCAATCAGCTCTCGATGGTACTTAACGAATGTTACTTCCTATTATATATAATATATTCTTTGATTCATTGGCACTACATTTAAATTGTGCAAAATGTGAATATAAAAGTAAATAATAAAAGGAGTCCAATGTTGTATTTTTTGTTTGTGTACATTACAAAATTATAGTATATGAATGAATTCTTTTAAATTATAGCTTCTAGGGTTTATTCATGGGTTCCTTAATGCATTATGTGTCACATTAATTTTATGCGACTTGTTGTTCGCATGGCAGGCTTATCATATTTATTAAATATGTGTTTTATAGTGGAAAAAAAATTACAAACATTTGTATTGTACAAAAGAAGATGATTAACGTACAAACTGAAATATAGATATTATACATGATAAGGAACATATCAACAGGTGTTTCAACACTTGTTGCTTCAAGGTTTATAGATGCAGTATATGCTTGTTTTCCATAGGAAAATGTACTTGTGGTTAATAAAAACTAAAGCAATTGTAACTGTATGAGATGGCACATTATACACATATTCTTTTTTAATCTATATGTTCGGTTACTCGATAATAAATGTAAAACATACATCATACAATTGTAACTTCTTTGCAGAAGCAAGATCGGAGCTTTTAGAGAATGGAATTGATTTCATTATAAATCATTTCGATACATTCTTTTCTATACTTGTTCATGGTAATAAGGTTGAATTACCAATTATTATGCGCGGTTTTAGCAGAATTCATAAAGGTAAACGATGTTATGCTTCTTGTTTATGATTTAGAAAAATGAGCATAGTACTAATTTTAAGTATTGTGTTATTAAGCCATCGAAATTTTGGTCTGCGATCTGGAAAGAGTAGTTGAGAAGGGTACCGAATTACAAGAAGAGGATAGAGTACGATTCTTAAACATTACTAAAATGCTTGCGTATCTATTTTCATGGTTTATGTGTCACATAGATGAAGAAATTCTTAAAGATTCAAGTGACAAATTAGTTGGAAAGGTTTGTCTGTTATTTCTTTGGATCTCATTCCAATAGATTAGTTTTACATTAATCAATATATTTCACTCAGCGGAAAAAAAATTTGAAATCTGATATGGAAGAAGAATGGGAAATGACTAGGGAAAAGGCATTGGAATATGTCTATAGATTGTTACAGCTACCATTACACAGGCTCTGGCAGCCACCTGTAGTCGAGGATTCATTTGTTGTGTAAGTTTGCAGACTATGTTGAATGAGTTTTTAAAAAAGGACAGTAATTATTATCTATAGAAAGAATTTATTGGCAGTAGTTTGACTTAATCTTGTATTTTAGATTGCTCACTAAAGTATGTTATAAGACTTTGGAACAGTGTAAGGAAGCAAGACAAAAACACATAAGGCAAACAATATTTGAGGTAAGATTCTTTTAACGATTGCGTTCAAGTTCTTTGAACAGAATGTCCTCAAAACTCTCAATTGCTTTTGAAAAAGATTTTAGGGACTTCAGTTAAGAGATACAATCATGGTATAAGTTGTATAGTAAGAATTATTCAGGTATGTTTGTGTATTGAATGATTTTGAATCTCATTTGAAGGAAACAATTGAATGTGTTAATTAATATTTCAGTTGGTAAAATTCCACGATGTATTAGCATCACATATAGCAGTTGGTGTTGTTCATATGATTAATGAATGTGGATGTAAGGGTTTAATGAGAGAAGTAATGAATGAAATTGATCAATCTGAACCATCTGAGTCTGACAATCGTAATATATCAATATTTCTTGAAACTATTGCTCTTACTCAACCAAACATCATAATTCCTATTCTTGATGAAATGATTGATTACTTGGGTAGCGAAGTAAGTGCATTTGTGTCAACTTATTTACGCATTTATGCTTCTTGCATTTATTACATGTTTGTTTACATACTTTTCACAGCATTACAGTATGCGAAATTGCACGATTAGTGTATTGGGGGCGGTTGTGCAAAAAGCATTGACTGGAGATGATCTGACACAGGAACAAAAAGACCAGCGCGATGAATGTCTTAATAGTTTAGAAGAACACATGTTGGATGTTCATGCTTATGTCAGATCGAAAGTCCTACAAGTATGGCAACGATTATGTTGCAACGGAGCTATTCCTCTAGCGAGGCAAGGAAAACTTCTAGCTGCCACTGCATTACGATTAGAAGATAAAAGTGCAAATGTACGAAAGCAAGCATTGCAACTGCTACGTGCATTACTTCAAGCCAACCCTTTTGCTGCTAAGGTACCCAGAAGTAAATGTATTTGTTTTCACAATCGTTTTTTCATAAACAGCGACGATTAATTAAATAAATCTTTTATAGTTAAACAAGGAAGAAATTTATAAATCGCTGGAGGAGGAAGAAATAAAATTAAGGAAGATGCAAACCGAATCTGTTAGCAAAAGTGATCGTGGCGATAACCAAAGATTAGAATTATGGAACGACATGCTTCCGGAAATCAGAAAGGCATTGAAAGAAGTTATTAATTGTGGGAAGAAAAACAGTAAAAAACGAGGTACGTGTGTGTGTGCGTGCGCGCGCGCGCGTGTGTGTGTGCACACATATATGTGTGTGTGTATGTCAAATATTTAATGTGTGTTTATTTCAACGTAATTAAAAGTGTATCGCGATTCCATTCCAAAAATTTAGGTGACCACGACGACGAAGACGATGAAATTGAAGATGAAGAAAATATTAATCCTGATATAGCATTTGAACATGTCAGGCAATTAATGTTGAAAGGAAAAATTTTAGAAGCAGTAAAATTCTTATGGAGAGCTTGCATTATATTAAAACAAAATCCAGACATAGAAAATCTAGCAAACGAAGCGAAAGAAGAAATTTTATTTTTACTTTTACTGAAAACGTTTATGGAATCAGAAGGCGCTTTGAATAGTGCAAACGAAACTATAAATACATCGCAGTCGACAGATAAAGATAAAGAAAAAGAGCAAATAGAAGTGGCTAAACGAGTTGTAAATTATTTGAGAGTATGCACACTACAATTTTATTACTGACTAAAATAAGCTTCTTTGACCTTTTAGTTTCGTTTTTTTTTATTGTAGAATTGTTTGTATTTCGCAACGGAGTTAGAAATAGCTATACCCATGGCAGAGAATTTGCTGTTTTCTACAACAGCCACTGATGCCGTTGAAGCATGCAGTTTACTCGGAATTGCTTACCAGTTTGGCGTAATTGGTGCTGCAGATGCTATACGTGAAGCATTGTTCCAAATGTTTCACCGCGACCAGTCGGTACGCAAGAATTTGGCCGCTGTATATAAAGAGATTTACTTGTGCAACAACGAGAATAAGAAATCCAGTCGTCAGAAAGCTCTTACGCGTATAAAAGCTCTAATCGAATTATTGAAATCACTTAAACCGGGTCAGAGTCAAGCCTTAAGCCAACTTATTATAATGTGGTATAAGAATAATGAACTGGGAAATGAAGAATTGCAGGTAATGATACACACGTATAATTGTATGTAACTATTTTATGGACTTATGTTGCGAAATAATTCCCTTGTCTTTGTAATTAATTCAATAGGTTTTGTGGGAAAAATTTTCGATGAAATCCTCGGACACCGATTCATTGGATAGCAGATCGGCTTTAATGCTAATAACAATGGCAGCTCAAGCTCAGAGTGGTATTATATCAGGAAATCTAGACGTGTTGGTAAAAGTAGGTTTGGGATCGCGAGCAAAAACTGACCTTCTTTTAGCTAGGGACACGTGCAGAGCGTTGTTAATGATGAAAAATAATAACGAGGATAATGAGAAGTTATCGATCAGGTAAGCTAAAGACAAGAATTTACGTAACTAATATTCTATAATTATGTAAATAATTACTACAATCCTTAGGTATCCCAATGATCACGAAATGTTTAAAGAAATTTTTACATTGCTGATAGATAATTTTACTAACACAAAAGAAGATGGATATATATCATTCGCGACAGATGCAATCAGCGTTATTTATCATGTAAGTGAATAATCTATTTTATTAGAAATTCAAATTTTTCGTTACGGAAGACTAGATATACTTTATAAGCAATATTTTGAACTTCTAGTTAGCAAATCAGCCTGATCATTTAATGCAACAGTTGTTGCTAGACGTATATAATCGTGGCCAATTTAATAGTAAGGATTCAACATCAGTTGTTCCATTCCACTTACTGTCTAAATTGCTGTATTTAATTGGACACATTGCGATCAAAGAAATGGTACATTTGGATACATCAGTTTATAAGGAATTAAAGCGAAGGGACATTATACGAAAATCGAAAAAAGAAAAAAAAAGCCAAGATGACAAAAATACGTGTTCTCGTAATTTAAATACTTCATTGTCAAGTACGTCAATATCAAACACAATTAGTGCAAGACAACAGATTCGCAATAAAGAGGTACAGTATGAAATGAATTAGATGCTACGATGATTTTTAGCGCTTGTTGTATAGTGGCATACAACCGAAACAATAGGAATTATTGAAGGATTGTGAATCTTATATAGTATATACAGTGAGTAACAAACATAATTGAATAGCAGGTTTCCATATTTACATGGTTGTAATCAAGTTTTTATAAATTTTCTACATATTGTTTTATTTCTTCTCTCAAATTTGTTTAGATTTCATGCGTATATGCTAATATAAGTCAAATTTAGACTAACATAATATTCGTACATTTTTTTTCTCTGTATACTGAATTTCTGAGAATCTTATCGTTGAAATACTTTCGTTGCTCACTGTATACCCTGATCTATTTGAAATCAATCTACTTTTTTGTTTTCGTATTTAGACAAGCACAATCATGGAAGACAATGGAGAAGAAGCAGTCGAGGGGGCAGTAGACGATGCAGATGCAGAACTTATAAATGACATTCTTGAAAATCACGTTGTAACTGGAGATGGGCTGCTATCAAAGTTTGTGTATGTTAATGATTTTAATGCATTTGTGTTTCGCCTTATATGCAAAATATATCTATAAATGATATCTTGCAGTCCACTGGTACTAGAGGTGTGTCAAAATCATGATAAATACAATGACGAAGACGTACAAGCTGCCGGTGTTCTTACCTTATCTAAAATGATGACTGTGAGTTCCAACGTTTGCAAGGAATCATTGCAGCTTTTAATCACGATATTAGAACGTTCATCATATCCTGCGATTCGTGCCAATATTCTTATCGGAATAAGCGATCTTGCAACGAGATTCCCTAATGAAGTGGAACCATGGATGAAGCATATATATGACCGGTAATTTGAAACATAAATATATGGTAAAGTCAAATATACTGTTGCCGCAGATTACGTGTACGACTAACTTTTTAGATTGCAAGACGAAAATGTATACGTACGAAGTACCTGTGTTCGTGTTTTGTCGAGTCTTATAATGAGAGACATGGTGCGTGTAAGAGGTCAAATATCAAAATTAGCATTGTGCATAGTTGATGAAGACACCAAAATTCGTCAGGACGCGAAACAATTTTTCAAGGCACTTTCGCAGAAAGCGAACGTCTTGTACAATGTGATGCCTGATATACTGTCTCGGTTAACCGATTTGGAGGAAAACTTAAACGAATCTGATTTCCAAGAAATTATAAAGTATGTGTTAGTATTAAAGTCGGAAGATAAAAGTGTGCAATCCTTTAATATAATGTTTCTTAATTACAGATACGTATTGGGTTTGTTGCAAAAAGAGAAACAGGTCGATTCCATAATCGATAAAATTTTTGCCAGATTCAAGTTAGCTAGTACAGAAAGGCAGTGGCGTGACTTTGCGTATTGCCTTTCGCTTTTGCAATTCGGTCCTAAAAGTAAGTGAGAACTGCATGTCGTTTAAATAAGATATTTTATTCAATTTCTACTTCATTTCGATTAGGTATACGCCTTCTTATGGAGAGTTTAGCCTTGCTGAAGGAAAAAATTCACAACAAGCAAGTTTTAAAAGCCTTGCAGACTATTATAGATCAGACGAAACGGAAACCAAATATGAAAGCAGCCTGTATAGAACTGGAAGAAAAACTAAAAGAGCTTCTTAAGGGCACCGAGAATGCAGAGGGTGAAATGCCAAGCGATTCTGAGGTGATGCCACCACCCCCGGCGCCGATATCGAAGAAACGTAATAGACGCACAAAATGCAAAAGTAGTAGCGACGAAGATAGTGATGCCGACAGTGATTCTGATACAGCACCAGTGACAAAAGGTGTACTTTTCTTGTATATAAATTATTCAAATCTACAACTTTCATTACATACAAGCTATTTATCATTTAATATAAAATCATTTCAGCAAAAAACGTTAGAAAAATGAAATCGCGTGATCGCAGAAGTAGATCGAGTTCTGGATCGGATTCGGATACTGATTTTACACCAAAGAAAATTCCTTCAAAACAAAGTATGTGTTGTTCAAAGTATATACAAACAAACGATTGAAGGTTTCAGAGGATGGAGGTGTCATGTTACAAATATTGATTTTGTAATGATTTGATATTTTTAATTTTGTGGTAGGACAAGGGGAAATAAGATACTGTTTTAAAGACTACGACGTATCACCTTCATTCACTAAGAAAGCTTCGTTTCCACAAAAATGTTACATAATCTCTTGATCCTTTAAAAGCTTCAATTATTTTAAGTACGTGTAATTTGTTTTATGTTCACTTTAGTCAGGACAAGGGCGTCCACATCAAGTGCAAAAAAGTTAACAATTCGAAGAAGACATCTCAGTTCAGCCGAAATTACTCCGTCACCAACACCGAAAAGAAATAGACTAATCACCGCAACAACATCGTGTACTCCACAGAGAACTTCGGCACGTTTATCTCAATCAAGGGCTAACTATTGAAATTGATTAACTATTTACATTATTGACACTAATGCGCCATATTTTTATTATAAAGTAGATTAATACTTTAGGATCTTCATGGAAGAAAAGGATGATATTTTAATAAAGAAATAAAATATTTTTTTATAACTGTTCTTGTAATTTTTAATGGTACTGAACGTTAAGAGTAGTTAAGAGTGGGAAATTGCAATTGTCCCTTGTTCATGTTTGACTGATAATTATACTTTAATTTCATACTATTACAAAATATGTATTCAACATCAATAGAAATAATCTATTTTGTATATTCTTAAGTGTTGATGCAAAAAAGGAACGACATCCACGTATATAACATCGAAATTATAGAAATATTTATTGAATGTAAATTATTAACAATATATTTAATATTAAGTTTTGTAATACGAACTTAACAGTTAAATTTTATATTCATAAAAATAATTAATTGTATGAGTTTAATGTATTAATTATTCATAATCATACCAGTCAATTATCATCGTCCCATTCCCCAGTTTGTTTTGTACATTATACCGTTGTGACTAGTTGTTAGACATTATCGTAAAAGATGCATCAGAAAATTGTACAGTGAATGAAAAATGAATGTTCATTACATCACAAAGTAAAGAATCGATTATTGCGAACACTTTTTGATCTCACAATTATATACTGTAAGTAGGACACTGTACTTTATTATACATTTGTGTACAATGGATACCGCTGTATGATACTGTATGTCACAAGAACGACTAGTGTAAAAATCTTTTATATTAACACAGATTCTGATAGACGTATTGCTAGTATTTAATGAAGTTTATAAAATGTAGTAGCTGTTATACCAAATCACGACTAACACTACGTTTAAACGTCATAGAACGTACTTCTGTTCCCGGCTTTCCCGATTTAGATAAGTTGTTGCTGTTAGGGTTTGGCGTTGGACTTTGTGAAAGAGATGCTCGCTCGTCGTTACTCGATTTTTCCCGTTCTAATCGTTGTTTACTAAACTTTCCCATTCCTGGACGATAAATCTCCATGGCAGGTCGGTCCTTTTAACGTTTCAAGAGAAATAATATTTTAATTCCACAATATCAAACGATATTATTAAGTAATAAAAATAATAAAATAAATGTATACCTTATTTCTAATTCTACGCTCTAATCGTGGATCTTTCTTATCTTTTTCTTTGTCTTCATTTTCAGCCTTCTGTAAATTATTTTGATCGCCTCCATCTAATGATTTGTGTCGCCTTAAGCAACTTCCATCTCCTATACCTCCATCACCACCACTTTCAAGTGAACTACGTCTCTTTGTGACTTTTGAATCGTTCTTTCCATCACTACCTACATTATTTTCCTCTTTATTGATATGTTCATTGGATTTAGATTTTCCAGTATTTTTATTAGTTTCCACGGTCGTTGATCGAATTTCTGTAAATATTTGAAAAGTGGCATCTCAATGGCGCGATAGAGTTTGTTTTTATTAAGACGTGAAAATATCTTTACCTATTTTTCTCTGGTCTTTCGGTTGCTCTGGTTCTTTTACAATTTCTTCTAATACTTGCTTCTCGTTGGTCTCCTCTCTTTCTCTGCTTTTACTATTTTCAGCATCATCTTTATCGCTCAGAGATTCTTCTCTTTCCTTAATATTTTCATATGAATCAACCTGCAATTCTTTTCTTTGAGAATCATCATCTGCACTCCTTAATTTTGTACTGTTCTCAATATCCATATTGAATTCTACACTTTGCTTTTTTGTTTCTGCAAGTCTTTTCTTCTCCTGCCTCATTTTTTCATAACTCTTACCTCGTTTTTCCTCATTCTTTCTTTCTCTAGAATCTTTAATATCTTCTTTATAATCACATTTTCTGTCATCTTTTCCATCATTTCTCCTATCATCTTTTATATTATCCCTTTCATCGCGTCTCCCATATACTTTTTTGTCATCGTGACGCCTCTGATGTTTTATTTCACGTTGATCTTTATTTCTGTCTTCAACTCTATCCCTATATCCTTTTGTTATAGGTTTGGAATCTCGATCTCGCGGTATTTTGTCACGTAGTTTGTCTTCTTTTTTAATACGATTTTTTGTATCTTTAGGTGAAAGTTTGTCCCTATCCTCTTTGTTTTCTTTATTATCTTTACATATTTCTTTATCAAGATCTGGATTTTTCAATACCTATAACAAAATGAAAGTTTTGTATTAAGTAATGCGTCGTCATTATTAATTTTAACGAGAAATTTTAATGGAACTTATTATAATAAATTGTATAATAAATTACAATAAAGTGACACAAAATTCTCACTTATTTTTTTCTAAAAACAATTTCTCTTACAAAATTTAATGTATACAAACTAGTCAACGATAAATTAATTACATCTTAATAAATGCATACAAATTTAGCATACAATTATTAAACGGAAAAAGTATATAGCATTGATCTAAATCGCATATATGAGAAATAATCCTTTTTCCCTTCATAATCACTTTGACACACAGTAAATAGATAACATAAATTTCCCTGCTAATCATATGCAGTTCCAGTTTCATGAATTTTTACGATATTCCGGCAATCCTTTCTCACAGATAGTTTTAATAGGGTAAAGTTTCTGGTAATCAAATACAACGCTACAACTCCTTGATTTTGACATTTCTGCTGGTATTTGCATTTTCCATGTTTTGTGTAAATTAGCGAATTGTGATTTCGATAATGAAGAGAAATAATGTTTATTGTTGATGTATTGTGATGTGTACTTGGTGTTATTATGAATATAATTATTTTTCATATTATTCCAATGATTGTAATTATTCTTCCTGCAACCAGTGTCTTTTTCTTTGTAATTTCTCTCATAAAAGTAAAATAATTTCGGATGTTTATTACTATAGTGCCAGTGCTCATTGATATGTGATACACTTCTGACGCAATTTACATATACTTCTGTATTTTCTTTTCTGCAAGACTGCTGTTGCACGTTCAATGAATTCTTTTTCATTGGTGACGTACTCAGAGTTCCACTATTGGGGACTTCTTCTTTACATTTATGAGGTATACTTAAATTTTCAATAGGATGTTCAAGAAATACATCTTCTGACTTGACAGTTGAGGAAGTAGAAAGGAAGGAATACTTGGTCTGGTTATCTTCAATGTTATATATCGACTGCAGGGTGAAAAGATTAGTATCAGCAAATACAGTAGAGAATAATACTTATAATTTAGATATAAGATCTTCATTAAAATTGATTTACTATCTTCGTATTCTATACTGTATTTGTCACGCTGAGAGCTAATTTGAAATATTTAAATTAATTAAGTACAAACGAAAATTGTAGTACTACCTTAGATATAATTGGGTCGTCTTTTGTTCTTCTCCTCTCTAAATCTCTCCGTCGTCTCTCCTCGCGTTTCTCATCTCTAAGACGCTGTTTCTCTTGTTTGCGTTGTTTTAAATATTCCAAAAGTGGTGTGGTTGTAACTTTTTTTGGTGTGTCTATTTCAGTGATATACAAACATAAATATACACGTATCTAACGGAAACATTCTTCTTCAGACCACATGGAAAACGACTTACTGTCTGGTGGTTGATACGAGTACTCTGTTTTTGGTTGTGCTACATTGGAGTCAGCCTCTTGATTTTTAAGGCTTTCTAGAAAACTTATGTAGTAAGGATCAGATTCTATTGCACCGCATTTTAAATCCTTTTTCCCTACTCTTTTCTTTGGTAACCTTTGGAAAGGTGCAAATTCTACTACGGCTGGATATTCTGTGCCTTTAGAGTCAACGAACACATAATTATCAAATTTCTCTCTGAACATAAAAATGTCTTGCTGCTCCATAAAGTTAATATAAGCACGAGAAAAGGCAAATTGTCCCATAGACATGTCAGCCTTTACAAAACAAAGATAGTCGTGTTCTGGCAATGGGGCAACTTGCTCTAAAAACTGATCCTGAGTCATACTTGGAGGCAATCTCCGTATTACTACCTAGAAACACATTTTTCTAATTATTAACTGGATATGAGTAAAAATATGCAATAAATTATATTCTGCAGTTATGACGAAACCTCTTCTAAGTTATCATTTGAATATTAATTAAGTACTTTTCTATTTTTATTCAAGAAACTAAATAAAACTTTTAACTTCTTCATTTTCTCTCGACTTTTGAAAACTCCTCAGTGCTAAGGATATTATTCTTACTGTCATGCATCATATATATTTTGTTATTTAAAATATGAAATAACATTTCATTTAATACATATTACACGAATAATATTTCTTCACAACATTACATTGTAAATGCTCTAAAGTAAAACTGTCACTTCTTGTTCTTCAAGTGTAATACGTTACAAAGGCAAAAGATATTTTTCATAGATATTAAATGATTCATGACATTTTCAGTTCCATTTTAATCAATAATACCTTTGTCATAGGTCGGCATTTTTCTTTCTTACTGTCTTTAACTTTTCCGACATCTGGAGAACTAGTTTGTGCCTCGTTTTGTGCGGCAGTCTCAGACTGTTGGGTTTCCTCGGTCATTGTCATCTACATTTATTTAATTTCTTGACAATTAAAGCTTATTCGATATCAGTTCGATTCACTCTTTTCAAAAATAATAATTGGAGCATGCAATTTTCTTCCTGTCATCAAAATAAACGTTTCCGTTTACAAAGTTTTCGCGGCCATCTTGATCCACTCAATCATAAAAAATGCTATTGGACGGCGAGATGAAATGTAAAACTTCATTCATTGGGGAATTTCGGAGTCCATATAAAGTCTAGGGAATTAAATTATACAAAATATGAAAGAGATTGTCCTATTACTAATCACAAGATGATTTTAAATGTGTTGATTAACATTTTACAACTTCGTAAGGATATGTTCGTAAATAAAACTAAATGATATGTGGTTTTATAGAAAGCTAATTTGATGTACATAATTTGCAAAATTTGACAATAAAAATACTTAAAAAATAGTTTATTGTCTAGATTTCATTTAATAAAATGTAATACGTGGTTTGAATACAAAATTCTGGGTATTTAATAATAAATACAATTAACAACATACAACAGCATTTTAGAATTTGTACTTTCTGTAAGATTAGTTGAAATAAATATGTACCAGTATGATGATAAATGTTAATAAATTAATGTATTTACATAAGTAAAATGTAACTTTTTAATTGAAGTTCATAATCTTCTGTAGTTATCACGTTGTTGCGGTTGAGATCCTGATGTTAAAGTTGAATAGATAAAAGGTAAAATCGACGCCAATGCTAGACAAAGACCTATCACTGGTCGATACCATACCCAAGCGAAACCTATTACCAACAAACTAATAGACATGGACACTGACATTGTTAAAGACTCAATTGCAATGATTCCACATAAGAATGTAGAATTTAAAATTACTGTTCTCAGTATGTTTGCTAAACATGTTGCTGCCAAAAATAGGACTAACCAGCCGAGACCTCTGAAACAATTATTAACTTATTAATATTAAGTCTTACAAGAATGCAAGACAGATAACACATTACCTAATAGTCCATGTGCGCCAATAGTTGTGTACGTGTTCTAAATGAAACATTTGATCTACTGTGATTTTGTGCTTCCGTTGAAGTAAAATCTCTTCACCATGCGATGTGATGTATGGTACAATAGTACCCTTTTGTAACATACCAACTATAGAATAAATTTCTCCTGATTTTCCTGCATAAGAGAACTGTATACGTATATCTCCTACCTAAAATAAGTAGGTCAGTTTTTTTAAATTTGCCGCTTATTTATCAGTATATAGTGAGTATAAGTGAGTGTACCTGAGGATTCCATAAATCTGAACTATGATAGTATAAACCAGAATGCATTTTAATGTCTTTACGTTCTGGTCTTTCATCGCTGGTGACTTCTATAAATTCGTTGAATTTCTTTTTTAATTCAGTTCCTAGAGTAAATGCCCCGATTTTAACTTCGTCCGCAATTTGTATCTGACTCTTAATAGGCATCTCTTTTGGATTATGATGACCAGTTCTAATATAAAAATGATCAGAATCGATCAGTTTGTCTTTCCATTCTGTTGTATAATAATAATGTTTATCTTCTTCTGTTACTTCGCCGAAACTGATAAGACAGAATTACTATACTTAACATAGAGGAAATAATAGATTCTTTTTCTTACTTAAGATTTTGAACTACCTTCGTTCTTCTTCTATTTCAATCCACTGATACATTTGAACTCTCCTTTTCAGTTTTACACTTGATACAATTACTCCATAATCAGGTTCTGTCAATGGTTCCAATATGTTTAAAGGACCTGACAAGTGTATTAAACGACCTTCGTATTCAGGTAACAATTTTATAGTGCTTGGAAGAACTGCCAAATTGCGTAAAGCTTCATCTAAAGAGTGTGCTACTTTCACGGCTCTTCCCTATAATATTGGAATGTTCTTTTGAAATATAATGCTTATAGTAAAGTACTTTTATATAATAGAAGATGAAGACATTTACAAACCTCATTCCAAAATAAAAGACACATGCCAGTTGCAAACAGAATGAGCCCTATGATAGCAGTGAACCATGACTCCCTACATTGTTCAGAAACCGTCATTGGAACATTTATAGGGGCAGGATGCCTTCCGTTTACCCGATTCTGAATTGGATCAGCATTTACCCTTTGAGGCTGTCCATTTTGCTAAAAAGAAATTAAGTTTATTATAAACTTAAATTGTACTCTGCTGAATTTTATAACTGATAGTACATAAAAGTATCGTTAGTAAACATATCATGCAAAGTGCACAATTTATATATAACTAAACATTATATAATATATGCTATATTACTGAAAAATTACAGTGTAAAACGTATTCGAAAATAAGTAACTATTTAGGTGCTGAAATATGTCATTTTCGTGCTTACATTTGCGCGATACATTTTAATAGATCACATTATACGATAACGACAACGTTCGACTTGTCCACCAAAACACTTGTTCTAAAATAACATTATTCGTATAATATCAGATTATTCTAAGTTCAACGAGCATGTATTCTGATCGCATTTTACTTCCCAATAACTACGTTCAAAAATGTACTATGAATACTGTCCAATCAATTTTATGTATTGTACAGAATCGTACAAAACTATCGACACAATTTAATTTTCGAAAACTATGCATAAATATATTCGTATATATCATATCACACAAGGAAAAGAAGGACACGGTGAAAACTATCATTGGTCACATGCGCATCATTCAGCATCGTTGTGTGTAAATATGTACACTTCTATTGAAATACAATACTATTTTTATGACAGTCATGCCCCTTGCAACAAAAGTACTGATATGTGTAACCAAAATACAATTTTTATACACTATTTATATTAAAGTGATATAATCGTAGATAAGGGAATTTAAAATATTTTCAAAAACAATAGTTACAGTTTAAATTGCAAAAGATCCTTGAGGGATGGGCTTATTAAGCGTGATAGAGTAAGTGGTAGGGGTGAAAAAGTCGAGTTGCATACAATTTGACAAAAATTTATCACCATTTTGAACCCTTTGTAGATATTATTTTTAATTTACAGAATAGTGGAATTATTATTTCAGTAGAATAATAGTCTTTTAGTTCAAATAAAGTTACAAATATTTTAAATGTTAAAGTTAAATGAACGAGTGCTTGTGATGACACCTATTGGGAGAAAAGTCTCTCTTAATCCGCATGATCCGCATAATCCTTTGGTTTATCATTGTCAATCATTATGTAAGAGATGGAACGTGTTAGAAAACGATTGCATCAAATAGCAAATTCGGCAAACACGCACTGACTCTGTGCTGCTCTGTCTAGTGTTGCCGGTGCTGCCCTAAAACGGTACTGGTCATTAGCAGTGATGCCAGGACTCGTCAGTAGTATTGACCAGTATTGACTCAATACTGATGCAGTATTTTGTTTGGTTAGCACGAATGATCCCACCGATCTCACAGTGCAGCACTGAATTGGGGCAGCACTGGGACGAAAAAGGGATGAAACTTTACTGAAATCGTGCAAGTTGATTTAAATTGTCCTGTGATCCTGTGTGAGTTGATCCACCACTGATCTGTATATAAGGTGTAACAGAGCCAGCACAGTGAGGGCCATTGACAGATTTATACATGCCGATACGGCTTTAATAGCGCGGTTATTTAAAGCGGTACGGTCTTTGGTCGCGCATCGGGACACTTAGATACAACTTGTGTAGACGATTTTACAATATATTTATAATAATATTTGTATAAATTCAGTGAAAGTACGCTTAAATATTATTTACGGTCATAAAATAGTGTAATTTATCAAAGCTTCATAAAGTTTTCCTAACTTTGTCGGTTGTGCCATTACATTACATAACCCCAGAAAAACAAGCCACGAAAATTTATTAATGTATTGGATGTTAGGGCTATCCTGGTGTATCCTCATCCCTTGCTGTGACGTAATTAGATAAGAATTTTTCTCCTCTGATCTTTCATCATATAACAAGATTGTTGCGCCCCCAAAATTCTAACAAAGAGTAGGGGTACAAGTTGTATCCGTTGTATCCCTACTCTTCGGTCCTAACGTGGTTGAATTTGAACCGCTTGAACTTTGTATGGTGCCTCGCAGACATTGATGCCAGGACGTGGGATTTTTCCCACGCATGCGCACTACCTAATCCTCAGTAACGTATATACTTCACTCAAATATGGGGTATCGTTAGACCCCCGTGACAATTGAAATACGGTAGAAATTACAGGAAGAGGACATTTTTAAAAGAAATAACATATTTACATGGAAATAAATGAATATATATTTTTTTATTATTTTGTACATCTGCAGCCGATTTATTACATGAATACAAACATTTGTTGCGAGAGTAAGAAAAACTGCAGAAAACCTTACTAGTATTCAAACAAGAACATTATATATAAAACATATAGTCGTGCTTTCATCAATTAATATTGAAAATTTCTGAATTTTTAATTCTGTAATAAGCTTATCGCTTTCGCGTTTGCCTATTACATTTTTTATTATCTGCGTACATTTAGTTCGTGACAATTTTAGATCCTTAACCACCTGCGGATCTGAACAGGTTTCCTTTAATAAAGGGACCATGTGATTAATTGTTTGAAAAGCTATATTGTGCTCCGCGTAAAACGCAGCTAACTTTATTTCGGCTGTTTTGACTTTATTAACATGGTCCAAATCAGAATTACTATAAACTTTTGGTAATAAAACAGATGGTGTGATATCACAGCTTTTGCTTGTATTTTTAATATGTAATTGAGTCCGCGAATGTCTAATAAGTTCTGATTTTCCGCATGCCAAGACTTTATTGCAAGCCGTGCAGAAAGCTTTTTTTATTATTATCATCAGATTTTAACCAGTCTTTGAAAATATTATTCTTTAGCCAAGATAATTGGAATACTTTCCCTTTGTTACTTCTCTTCTTATCCGCCAATCCACTCGAACTAGGCTGCTGGTAATCCATCTTCTGGTTTCTGTCACTGTAATACACTAATATTGCACTACAATTTAATATATTATATAACATTACGCGACTCACCTTCACTTTAACGAAAAACGCGGGAAACGACTAGGAAGAGCCCCTTACGCGGACCTACTGTTGCACATAGATACGTCCATGGAAACAACCGCCGTCGAGCTGTGATGTCAGCATGCACATGCGCACGAAGGCTCCCACGTGGGAGAAAATCCCACGTCCTGGCATCACTGCTCGCAGATTGCAGTATGTGGAGACCGCTCGTCGAGGCGCTCGATTTGGAAATCATGTGGTCAACTTTTCCTGATTAGAGTAACACAATTGTTTAGATCTATATAGACAGATTACAACAAAATTAAACTTCGCGTTCAGTGCTGACAGTGAGTTTAAAACATTTTATGTATATTCGTTTGTACATTATGGTTAAAATAAACTGAAATCTTATAAAATTGCATTATTTAGTAAGGATAGTATTGTTAAATTGAATTCTATGTAAGTAGAATGAATAATGTATGTATGCTTTCCCTTATTAAATACACACGATGTTTTTACCTGGCATGTGCACGTATACAATGAATATTTTTTAGTTAAAGAATTTCAGTTAAAAAGTTGGAAATAATTATTTACTTTTATTAAATGTGAATGTTTGTACATTATGTTTAAAGGAAGTGGGAAATAAATACGTGCCATGTGATAAATGTTTACAGATTGATGGTAAAACATGATCTCAGAGTGAAGTTAAAAAGAACAGAATACATTTTAAGAGCTATTAATATGAAGTGGATAATAATTTCATGTATTTTGTGTGTATTTGGTTGTTTCAAAGAGTTTAGACCCTCAGAATCTTTTGTCACTGATTATTTAACTGGCCCATGGAAAAATTTTACAGATGTTCAAGTAAGTATAAACTGTATTACACGCACTGTCTGTATGTATAGATTGTGAGATTCCTTTCTTTAGCTTAATCAATAAGTTTTATCACATATGATGTTGGAATTTCTTTGTGTTTTTAAGTACCAATAAGATGTCTATATGCAATAAAGAATTTTATAAAAATGTTAATAATTTTCCAGGTTAATCAAGATATTTTTCCTATTTCTACATACTCCTACTTTGCAACTTTGATTGTTGTATTTTTGATAACAGACTTTGTACGATACAAGCCTATTATTATATTATGTGGTCTTTCTGGTACCATTACATTTCTTCTAATTATATTTGGAAAGGATGTCCTGACCCTGCAAATTGTGGAATTTTTTTATGGCCTGTTTTTATCCACAGAAGTAGCATACTACACATACATTTATGCTACAGTTGATAAAAAACATTATCAAGAAGTAACTAGTCATACAAAAGTAGCGTCTCTGTTAGGCCGTTGTTTGGCTGGCATTGTCGCACAATTAACAACTTCTCTTGATCTATTAAATTATCATCAATTAAATTATCTTACATTGTCAGGTATTTATTTCTGGGCATCTGATATTTTTATAGAGTACAAACAGTTATTAAGTTGATTGTATATAGTACATTCTATTTTTTAGCTATTGCATTTGCAACAATTTGGGCATTCTTTTTACCTTCTGTTGGTCAGTCCATTTATTTTCATAGAAAAAGCAATGATCGTGATTCAGAAAGCAGTTATGGAACTATAGCATCGCAACAGCGGACTGTAATTGCTGTAAATGAAATACCACATATATTTGAACATCATGTTGAGTATGCTTCTTCCAATACAAAGGTTTCAATATTGCATAAAGTAAAACAAGCTTATGTTCTACTATGGAAAGATTTTTTAGAAGCATACTCGAATTGGCATGTATTGAAGTGGTCAATATGGTTGTCTTTTTCAACTTGTGGGTATTTGCAAATTATTAGTTATATACAGTTACTTTGGCAGACTGCTGTATTACCTCAAGCTGAGATCTATAACGGAGCTGTAGATTCTCTTTATACAATTATAGGTGAGCGAACAGTTAGTATATTTCATTCATCAGTATCTTAAGTAGTTAGTCAATGTTTCACTTGTATCCTTATGTCTGTGATAATTGTAAATGATTACAGTACGATTCAACAATAATTAATTGGATGTTTCCTTATCTTCAACTTACAAATCTATAAATTATGAAAACTTCTTTTTGGTACATCATTAAGATTTATTGAATCAATATAATAATTTTGCATGAATTATTTTACACACAGCAATATTATTTTAAAAGTCTGAAATACAAAGATATAATTTCTATTTTTATAAATAGGTACAATTACTGTATTTTGTGTTGGAAAAGCACCATTTAATTGGTCCTTAATAGGAGATATAGTAGTATCGATTATGTCATTTATGAAAGGCATTTTGTTAGTGATCTCCTCGTACAGTTGCAACATTTGGCTGTTATACGCTGTTTACATAGTATTTGGAATTATTTATCACACAATGTTTACCGTTGCAAGGTATACACCATTTTGAATTAAATTATTTATTTATACAATTACCTTTCTGTAATTACAATAATTTCTTGTATTGATTTACAGTTTTGAAATTGCAAAGTATATATCCGAGGACAGTTATGGTTTAATATTTGGTGTAAATACTTTTTTCGCACTGTTATTACAAAGTATATTAACAGTTATTGTAGTGAATGGAAACTTAGGAATAGATCTCCGATCTCAGGTAGGATTGCAATCTGAACTGTATTTGAAAAACTATATGTAGATGTAGAGAAACGGTTCCTCAATTATGCAGACCCAACTGGCTAAAATAGTTCTTATAAAGAAATTTTACTTATATTATTATTTATTGTTAATGTTCGCCCTAGGGCAAAAGAAACTTTACTTAAAAATGTATTTAGAATTTTTTTATGATGTTACATATTTTGATTGAATCGACTCATTTGAACCATTATTATTACTTTTTATAATTGTCTTATTTTGTGACAGTGACCATGATTTTTTTATTAATGTAGATACAATGAATTGTCTCAGTGCCAGAACTTATGAACAAAAAAATAATAACGGCACTGTTTTTTTCATGGTTTAATTTCAATTCATTAAGCTTCTCAAATTATTTAAAATCTTTCGTTTATTACTCGAGTTGATTGTGTGGAAAATTTGTATTATTCATTGTTGTTCCTTGTTATGAACTCTTCTAGGCGATCAGATTTGTATCTATAATTTGAAAAAATATTCTTTTCTTTCTAGTACCTTATCTATGGTGGTTATTTTATTGTGATAGCAATCCTGTACATAATAATAGGTATTTTTAATATTGTACGTCATTTCAAGAGAGGTAAAGCATTCAATATATGGGCAAAGAGTGAGAGTGTTACAACAGGTGTGCAATCTGAAGACGAAGAGAAGTCCTCGAAGTCACCAAGTCCTAGTTGAGACTGTAGTAACTACTTCTCTATAAAGAGAAGTTTATTAAAAAACACTAGTGAATTGTAAATAATTTTGTATTATTCATTTTTACACAAAGGTGCAACAATTTTTATCTTTTAAAAATAAAGTGATCTCTGAGTAAATTGTCTTCCAATACATAAGTTATTAACATCTGTACTTCTGAATATGTGTGGTAGAAAACGTACTTTGCAGTATTACATTGTCGTTATTGTTTGTAATCGTCAACGAGAGTGATGAATAACGTAAATTAACGTCGACCAATAAGGTTATGTAGAATATAGCATATAGAAGATGCAACTTTTGTATGTTGCATTACGCACATGAATTGTGCGATTTTGCACAGAAATTTAATTAATTTACATGTCGATATTGATACATTTTTCAAAGTAACGTTTTAAAATGTATTCGTTTCTTGTTGTTACGTAAAATGAAGAAATATATGGAAATTTTATTTTCTTATTAAGCATATTTTCTATACAATAAGAACTCCTTTACCCGTATTCCATTATCTTTGATTTTCTTCATTGTTCTGTAGCGGGATTTAACAACGATTTTATTCGATCTAAAACAGGTTCCCTACATTTCTGGAGATAAATCAAGATATTTACAACACGGATTTTTATATATTGTTGTTTAAAGTAACTTATAATTGTTCGTAAGGTTGCTTACGGTTGAAAATGTTTGAAACAAACACTTTCCTAATTCGCTTTTGGAATTCGCATTCTTATCGGTGTGCTTGAACAACTTCCACCAGATTCCGCAATCCTGCACACTCTGCCGAAATTCTTGTTTGACATCGTCCATTGTATCGTTACGTATAATAGAAACAATGGATTTCATGGACTCGTCCTCGATTACTTTCGAGAACATACACGGATAATTGTCGCAATCGTTAGCATTCGCGAATAAATTGTCAAGCAGTGTTGTGTCCTTCAGGCAAATTTGAATCACCTGTATCAGTGATTATTTTAAATAATATTTCAAACAAAAGAAGCAAGCGTTTTGTTGTGCAAATGGAATTTCTTAAAAAAAAGAATATTCTTTGTGTATAATCGTTTCGATGCCATCGCTCGGAGCAACCTTTGTTTTTTTCGATAAATGCGAGTTTTCCGTACAATTGTACCTGTTTTATTGTAAATTCGCGAAAATACAACAGAAAATATAATAATATACCAATAACGTATTGGTACAGGTACAACAGTTTCATTTTGTAAAAATCGATCGCCGATTACAAACTTTTACGCTACAGCGTATATTTACCAAGTTTGACGGCACAAGTACTGGATAAGCTTCGAATAGACGCGTGTCGAATTTATCAAAATCAATGTTTGCGTCGGTGTTCTCAACGGTCGCACTTAAGGTTTCAGAAACATCGTTTACCGATAATATTAACAATAACCCTGCATCAATAATACACGTCTAATCCTGGTTACTTTGAATTAAATGAATTAATTGTACCTGATATCGAAATAAGCATTATTGCTGAACTAGTTTAAATATAGAAATATTTCTTCACTGATTATAGTCGGCTGTCAAAGTTATATCTATGAAATTAATGTGTAAATCATTGATATCGTTGGGAAACGATTAAAGTAACGAAGTTATGAGATTAATGAAGCTGGCCAGAAAGCAGTATTATACTGTACACTGCTCGAAATAATTAGAGGATCGTGAATTGGCGATGTGCCGTCAATTGACGTATAGTTCGTAGAATGTGTTTTTACGCGCAACAAAAATAAATGTTAGTGCCATATGAACAAAGATGTTAATTTTTTACTTCTATGGTATTTATTTAGTTTCTTTCGTTTGATTGGTGCAACTAGATCGTTCACAGTTGTGATCTTCTAAATATACTTATATGTATGTATATAAAAAACATACGTATATACTGAAAAAGAAGGTATAAAGTATGTATATACTGAATTATAAGTCAACGTAACTTTCTCTACGAATAACATTTTTTTAGAAAAGTTCATGTCATCTATCCTCGATCAACTAACAAATAAATGAAATTTTACTAACATAAGAGTGCCAAAGATATTACAGATCAATGTAAATTGTACCTAAATTCTGTACAAAAGAAGGAAATTTAAAAAAGAAGAGCGGATGATATGTGGAATTGAACCTAATTTTTTGTGCCCCAGATAGCACATGACGCCTTCAAGACGGCTTAAAGGCGCCTTAGACGTAAAATAGCCGTAAAATAGGCGTCTTTAAGGCATCATGTGCTATCTGGGTGCAATTTATGTACAATAGTAGTATTTGCAACTGAATTGTATTCAAATAAAATGTATTATACATTTGACACGTGACTATAGTACAATCAAAATCAAGTTTTCAAAGAATCACAGTTTTCTGGGGGCCAAGCATTCGTTGACCTGGCGGAGTCGCTTTATTAGTGTTACGGAACACAGTAATCGAAATAGAATTGGAATAAAAGTTTACAAGATGTATCGTGTGATATGCTGAACGTGATTATCTTATATCTTATATCAATTTTTGAATTGCTTCGATAACGAGAGGTTCACAGGCTTTAGCAGTTTCTCTCGATAAACATAATCCGATTTCTTGGAGACGCGATAACTCTGTTCGTTCATCCGCCAGGGGATATTCCTCTAAGTGGCCGTGGGGTTTTGTCGTCACTGTTAAATGCAATCGATCGAGTTCCTTGTATTCCTCGGGACTTAAATGCTCTGTGAAATTAATGATTATTGAGCATTTATAAAAATATTCAATAATGCTAGAGAGCTGGGAACATGATTAAATTCATTTCAGGTATCTCACAATTTGTCAGTTTTGTTAGACAAATGTCAGAAAATTATAGAATATACGAATTATTATCATACAGTAATTCAGAATTCGAGCGTTTCTTGGAGACCAGAAGAATTTCTGTATTTATAACTTGAGTCTACAAACTTGCACACCTCTATATATATTCTTCACGTTTTTAAAAATGAATATTAAATAGGCAATTTTGTTGCACAGGAAAATAGGTGAGTTGCACCAATAATTTAAACATTTTAAAGAAAATAATAATCATTACTTGTTTCATGATTTAGAAGAAAAAAGTGTCGTTTGTTTAATATTTAAATTTTATATAGTACATTATGCCACGGTCAATTTCTTAAGCAACAATATTTCTATTAGACTGTGAAGTGTTTACGTAAACTGGAATTTTTATAAAATGAGTCATAACCACAAGAATTAGGTAGAACTTCACTTTCTCTTTCAAAATCCCATTGTGTCAAAGATAAGACGAATGCTCTATTAAAATTAAATTAAAGTGTTTTTTCAACTATACTTTCTGCAACTGTAAACGCTATACATGCATAAAATCTGCAGTCTACTAATAATATTCCATTTAGTTACTTTTATTCTCAAGTTTCGTAATCTTGTTTATCAAGGATCGTCGAATTTCTTTTATTTCCTTGGCCGCTAATCGTGCCTTCCTCAATTCCTTGTATCGTTCATTTTCTTTTTTCTTCTTTGATTTTTTTCGACTATGTTTCGATCCTCGTGAACGTCGTGGCTTTTTCGAATGTCGCTTTTTTCTATTCTGTCCCTTCGAAAGCGTGGCTCGGTGAATATTGACGCGTTCTTAATTGTATTTTACTCGGTTTATTTATTTGTGCTAATCAATCAGCTCACGTGGACGGTCAATCGCATACGAAACAATCTTTGCTCTTGAACGTTTTTGTATCGTTGCCATAATTTTCCACAGGTTTCGGCGCCTCGAAGTAGTCGCGATTGCAAACCTCGGTCAGAAAGCTCGTGAAACGAAGAAACGATTTTTCCCATGTTAAAATCGTCCCGCCCTCCTCCCTGATTTGTTAAATATCGCAAAGAAAAATGGTAAGAAGGTTACTCTGTTCAACATTTATTTAAATTATTTAATCCTTGCGCACTATTCAATAAATTTTTGTATTACTATTCTTCGAATTCAATTCGACCTGCGTTAAAATCGGATTAAGGGTACATTTTTATGTAGACGCTGTAAATAAACCGGTTTTTCAGGATTTTTTAAAAAGAAAACCATAACACATAGTATAAACATTTAAAATATGAAAAATTTTTGTTATGTCATTTTGTTTAATATATACTGTAAACACGTAGTATATACTGTAACAAAATACATAAAATCTCGAGATCCACCCATCTGAAATCAAAATACCACAATTTTTCTTAAAACTTATAAGGATTGTTATAGTATAACATAATATGTATTTGTTTTTCTTATCTTAATATGTATATTAATAAACCCCAGACAGATTGTGTACTTTATGTGTTAGTTTTCTTTTACAAAAATCCTAAAAAAGTTGTTCTTTTACAGCTTTTACATTAGAATGTACCCTTAAGAAAACATATTTGCCTATTGTTAGATTATAATATATGTAAGTTGTTGGCGTCAAATTAATTTATAAATTTCTATAATACAATTATGTAACTTCGTGTCCGATAGACTCGAATAGTGCACGAGGGTGCAATCGTGAAATGCGAATTATTTTTAAAAATTTCAATACGACGGAAACTAATGATTTACTATCCTGTGTATCAATAAGCAATTCACTGCGTTATGTCGAATTTAATATCTAATTTTTAGAAAATTAAAAATTGACGGTACTTTGGTATTTATCCTTTCTCATATTATACCCTCCAATTTGTTTAAAAGAAAATCACAGGACGATTTTTATGTTTGTCAGGATAATAAGAATTTATTGATAGAAAATAGTGCATCACTCAGTGATGCATCTAACATTATGCTTCTTATACTTACTACATACTAGATTGTAAGTATCATAAAGAATTCTATAAGAAAGCGAACATAAGGGTGGATGCAACACTAAATGAATACGCCCCAGTGAATGAACGTTATACAGTGAGTGTAAAAAGTATTCGTACACCCTTTAAAACGGAACAACTGTTTTAAAATTGGTCCAAATCACTTGAGTTTTTTTGCGAAGTTAGAAACATTAATTTACTAAATGATGTGAAAAAAAAATTTGAAAAAGTT